ATTACAGGTGCATGAGAAAAATGTTGATGCAAGCTTCTGAATGAAGCAGGTATTTTTTGATTGGCTTAATTTTCGTAGAAGGCGGGGCTTAATACTCGACAGAAAATCGCCTAAATCATATGATTTATCCATTACTTTATACAATTTTTCGATAATTACCCTGATTTTGATCATTCCGCATCTAAGGCAACGATTGCTGCAACGTTGTGTCATCAAAAGATTGTGTACTGGACATTTTTCTTCTCGATCATGGCGTCGCGGGTACAACAACGCATGAATATTTAATGAGATTAAACGGAGTTATCTGCCCTTGTCGACAGTAGTGTAAAAACGGCCTTAATGTAGCTGCGCAGTTCACGAATGTAGAGCCAAATAAAATTGTCATCCGCCTTTATATACCAGTTCACATTGACCAGTGTCACATGATTTGACATTCCATGAATACAATTCAACAATGTGTTATTTTTTTTCCGAGACATGTATCAATTATCACCTGCTTTTGCAAACTCGACAAACATGTTTCTAGCAGAACAAAGAATGTTTTTGTTTTAGGTCTTCATATAGAAATTGTATCGTTTAGAATGTTATGTGATTGGTTAGAAAACAGTGATTGAACAAGTATTCAATCAAGGAAACATAGAACATTATGAACAGCAGATTCTGTTTTAGAAGCTTTAATGCATCTTGAACAAGAAATTTTCATGGGGTTACAGTAGGTGTACTTTTTGTTCTTATGCAAAGATCCTGACATATTGTTACTGATGAACGAGACCCTGATGAGAACTGTGTAACATTTAAAGAATGGAATAACAAGAGGGAAATTGAAAGTCGACTTAACCACAACTGAAACATTAAAGATTGAACTGGACATGTTGATGTGAGATTGTTAAGAGGATGCTCAATCTGGGTGCATAAAGATTTCCTTATACTGCTTATTCACTGATTCGTTGCATTTTTCCTTCCAAATTAAGGATTCCAGTACCCATGCGCTATACTATGTCATTTCACTATACACCTTAAATGTTGCAAACCTTATTTGAAAATTGAAATGTAGATTAAGCCCATGCGTAGAATTACACACTTAATCGTGTTTTGTCTAGAAATGGCCATATTAATAAACAAGTTTCAACCCCCCTTTAAACAAATTAACGTGATCAGGTAAACCACATGATTTTCTACATAAGGAACGTTTACAAAGCAAACACACAACATTATCAAAGCATGTGAAAGCTTAAGGCGTGGAATGTTTCGCGCCCTTATACCCAGTAAATGCCTGTACGATGGATAAACAAGACTTTTACTGTTGGACAACACAGACATTGAAATATGAAGAGCAAATAACACAACATTTAAAGCATGAACAACACAAGTCCATTTTTATTAAAACTAGCGGTATCCGGAGGTGTTCTGGAAGGGTGTGTAGTTTTTGGCCAACTGGAAGCACTGGTGATGCTACCATGATTACCGTTTGCAAGTAGAAATTTGATCATAAGTCGTTTTTATTGATCATCTTGATAATGCCACAATCGAGGAAAAAGAAAGGATTGTGGCAATGAGAAGTAAAACATATAGATAAGCATGTGTGACTTAGATGGTACTTAATGATCAAACAAATCCTGATCGCGTCCTGAAAACTTTCGAATGTTTCCATTTATAGTATCTTTGATTAAACTATCTTGCAAGCATCATCCATGTATCATGGAAATATAATCACTAGAATATTGTATGAAATGAAAAACGCAATTCGATAGAATATAGGCAAAGCCTTGTCTTAGTTTTGTTCATTTTCACTTTTTGCCGGCCATTTTGAAATTTACCGCCATTTTGAAAAAAAAAAATAAAAGTCTAATATAACGTCATGACTTACTAGAAACGTTGGATTACATTTCATATGTTTTTAAAAGATTTGGTTTGAATATTATTGGCTTTTAATTAGATATGGTTGTGAAATTTAAAGTAATTGGCAGCCATCTTGAAAATGGGCGCCATATTGGATTTTTCATTCAGAGTGGGTCCATAGTTTGATTGACTATCAAATATATATCTACTATTGTTTATATTCCTTTTTAGCTCACCGGGGCCCGAAGGGCCCCATGTGAGCTTATGCCATCACTTGGCGTCCGTCGTCGTCCGTCGTCCGTCGTCGTCTGTCGTCGTCTGTCGTCGTCGTTGTCTGTCGTCGTATACTATTTCAAAAATCTTCTCCTCTAAGGAGTTATTGCCCTTTAAAGACAATTTTACAAAATTTGTTCATCAAGTTTGCTAACATTTAAAAATCTTCTCCTCTGAAACTACTGGGCCAAATACCTTCAAACTTTAACTAAATGTTCCTTATGATATCTAGTTTATAAATTGTATCCGAAGTTTTGATCCATCGACAAACATGGCCGCCATGGCTAAAAATAGAACATAGGGGTCAAATGCAGTTGTTGGCATATATCTCAAAAACTAAAGCTTTTAGAGCAAATCTGACATGAGGTAAAATTGTTCAATTGGTAAAGATCTATCAGCTCTGAAATTTTCCGACGATACGAACAACCCATTGTTGGATTGCTGCCTTCGAATTGGTAGTTTTAACAAAATTTTGCAGTTTTTTGTTATTTTGAATATTATTTTAGATAGATATAAACTGTAAGCAGCAATAATGTTCAGCAAAGTAAGATCTACAAAAAAGTTAATATGACCATAATTGTCAATTGACCCCTTAGGGAGTTATTGCCCTTTAAAGACAATTTTACACAATTTGTTCATCAAGTTTGCTAACATTTAAAAATCTTCTCCTCTGAAACTACTGTGCCAATTACCTTTAAACTTTGCCTAAATGTTCCTTAGGGTATCTTGTTTATAAATTGTATTCGAAGTTTGTATCCATTGACAAACATGGCTGCCATGGCTAAAAATAGAACATAAGAGTCAAATGCAGTTTTTGGCTTAAATCTAAATCTTTCAGAGCAAATGTGACATGGGGTAAAATTGTTTAATTGGTCAAGATCTATCGGCCCTGAAATTATCAGTCGAATCGAACAACCCATTGTTGGGTTGCTGCCACCGAATTGGTAGTTTTAACAAAATTTTGCAGTTTTTTGTTATTATTTTGAATACTATTATAGATATATATATAAACTGTAAACAGCAATAATGTTCAGCAAAGTAAGATCTATAAAAAAGTTATTATGACCAAAATTGTCAATTGATCCCTTAAGGAGTTATTGCCCTTTAAAGACAATTTTACACAATGTGTTCATCGTTTGCTAACATTTAAAAATCTTCTCCTCTGAAATACAGGTGAGCGATTCAGGCTCTTGAGAGCCTCTTGTTTTTAAACTAATTGACAACCCAACTTCAAATTATAAAACTTTGCAAAACACCTTGTTAGAATAAAACGTTTTACATTCTGACAGTTTGTTTCAATTATTACCAAAGAAGAAAGGGTACTAGTACGATAAGAACTTAAATATAGCTTTAATGGTGTCTTATGGGTTGCTATTTCATTGACTCATTGACTCTCATGTATGATAAACAGACTAGTATATTCATTGACTTTCAATGTTTGTTGTGGAATCCCAAACACTTAACTCGCAGTACTCTGTATATCCCGAATTATCTATAAAATATCCAGTTAAATACAATCAATTAAAGCATATTCAGTTTATAATCAGACTGTTAATTAGTTGCTATTAACTTGTTACAAAAAAACAACTTACTGAATTACCGGAAAAGTACTGAACACAACTGGATTGATAGCAGGTAAAATATCTGATAAGCACTGAATTTACAAAAGGAAAGTATCTGAATAACAACTTTAAACTCTGAACAAAACTTAATTTTTTAAAGTTTAGAATGATCAGTTAATTTTAAAATCAAAATGTCCATTTAAGACTTAAATGTTTTTACTTGAGAATTCCCAAGCTGTTATATCCTGTGTTATATTTTGTTTTTGTATTTTTCGTGTACCAGTTTTACTGTGTTATTTATACAGGAACTTCTTAGGAAGAAAGATAAGAAGTTAGCAATATCCTTTAACTTTACGTTCCGCTATATAGATGATGTTCTCTCACTAAATAATACAAAATTTGGTGACTATGTTGAACGAATCTATCCCATCGAACTAGAGATAAAGGATACTACAGATACAGTTAAGTCTGCCTCATATCTTGACTTACATCTAGAAATTGACACTGAGGGTCGGTTGAAAACAAAACTTTACGACAAAAGAGATGATTTCAGCTTTCCAATTGTGAACTTTCCATTTCTATGTAGCAACATTCCAGCAGCACCTGCATACGGAGTATATATCTCCCAATCGATACGATATTCCCGGGCTTGTATTTCCTATCATGATTTCCTTGATAGAGGATTGCTGCTCACAAGGTAACTATTAAACCAAGAGTTCCAAATGGTAAAGTTGAAATCATCCCTTCGTAAATTTTACGGACGCCATCACGAGTTTGTTGACCGTTATGGAATAACCGTTTCACAGATGGTATCGGATATGTTCCTTATCTCGTAACTACAATACCCTTCCCTTTTCACGAATGTGACCTACCGAATTAGACTATTTACCGGATTTGTAATAACATAAGCAACACGACGGGGGCCACATGTGGAGCAGGATCTGCTTACCCTTTTGGAGCACCTGAGATCACCCCAGTTTTTGGTGGGGTTTGTGTTGCTTAGTCTTTAGTTTTCTATGTTGTGTCATCTGTACTATTAGTTCTTTGTTTGTCTTTTTATTTTTGGCCATGGCGTTGCCAGTTTGTTTTCAATCTATGAGTTTGACTGTCTCTCTGGTATCTTTCGTTCCTCTTTTATATCAGTTCCTTTACTGCTTTTGAACTTTGAAGAGTAGCACGAGGACGCCCAAATTATTTTTTACTTTGTTTATTTCTAATAGCTATTTCATAGTTTTGAAAATTGACTCTTCACCAAACAAAAAGTTCATATGTAGTTAATGGAAAAAGAATAAGACAAACACAAGAAGAAAGTTTATTTCTCTTCAGTATGCATATATTTTACACTCTGTGCTTATCTTCAAATAGATTATATGTTACGTCATTGAACAACTTTCTAAAAATGTAATTGACTGTTTTCTTTTGTAAAAATAAATTGTGAGTCTTTCTTAAAATGGTTTTTAGTGTCGTTTAATCATCATTTTAGTAGCTTTTAGAGAATAGTAAAATCCTTTCCATGTACCCCAATTGATACCATCGGCTTTAGACGTGTGCTTTCCAACCAAATATGCCCCATTCAAATTAGAATAATGACAATCATTGTACCACCATGCCCCTTGAAATGTAAGTACACAACTGCGAGAACTTCTGTCATTATCCTTGTCTTTAGTAGAAAACATCATGCCGTTTTGATTATAGAGGTTGTTGTCGACAGTAGACATCAGGCTATCTCCTGTGCAATGAAATAAAAAGTGAATATGGATATACTTGATGACATATAAATTAATACAAGAAACACGTATTTGTTGTTACGATTTGTGTGTCTGAAATGATACGGTGCAAAGTAAGTAATTATCAATAATGTATTTTACTTATAATTGGCTAAGTATCTATCGTTATTTCAGTCTTTAGAATAAACCAGCATGCCGTTATGTTTGACGTCATGGCGAGTAGACATCAGTTTATAACCTTTCCATTGTTCTGTAAACCCAAACCAGACCCTCACACATTATATAAAAGAGAAGCGAAAGATACCAAAGGGACATGCAAACTCATAAGAAGAAAATAAAATGACAACGTCATGGCTAAAAAAAAAAAAAGACCAACAGACAAAGAACAGTACACAAAACACAACATAGTAAAGTAATAACTGAGCAACACGAACCCAGGTACCCCAGAAGGTTAGCAGATCCTCCTCCACATGTGGCACCTGTCGTGTTGCTCATGTTATTACAAACCCGGTGATAAGTATAATTTGGTAGGTCACAATCTGGAAAAAGGGGACGGGATAGTATTATAATACACGCAATAAAAAAGAATTAAAATCCACAGAATAATTAATAAACATCAACACAAAATATATTAAAAAAAGGATTGTCGATGATACAACTTTCCAAAGACAAAAGTACATTGATATGAGTAATTACAAGTTACTATATGGCCTTCAACAATAGTCAAAACTCTTAAGTATAGAATAATAAACACTCGGTTTGCTTTGTTAATGAAATGATTTATAATATATTTTGTAATTCCATTATCTGTTGATAAATTAGATAAATCAAAACTACCGTCCCAACAGTATCAGTCGAAAAAAATTAAAACAACACGTTACTAATTTCTTGCGTCTGAAGCGCTTTTCTGGATTTACCTTCATCAAGAACGCTCAAAGCCGAATATTTGAAAGCCAAGTATGTATAAGAAACCACAAACGCTGAGTAGCAATTTGACTAAAAAGGATCTAACGAATAGCCAAAGACATCTAAAGTTGACCGAAGGAGTTGGTTATTCTTTAAGGCCTTAATGTGGTCATAAAGCTCCTCTCGAGATTTTAAAAGTTATACATTCTTGGCTATTTATTTAGTATAAGCTATCCTGATAAAGGTAAAAAGCGCGTCAGACGCAACAAATTTATAAAGTGGTTTTTTTTTTTCATTTGTTTTATGACAAATTTAATTATTCTTATGATAACACACTTATGTCAAAATTCCTAATAAATAAACAGTAAGACATGCTATTGCCGAACTAGTATTTGACCTCTCTACTTTAGACTAGCATTCCTGACAAGACACTTAAAGACAAATTAAAAGAGTTGGTCCACTTTTTTTCATAAAACAGAATGGCCAACGAAGAAACAAATATCTTCTTTAAGGAACAGACAAACCAAACTTTATGAGAGAAAAAAAAAACATTCTGTTACCAGAGGAAAGTTCACTGAAAATGACATCTTCAAAAAATGATTTATTTGTATTGACAACATATGTGTTCACTTGGAGATCATGTGTTTCAACAGACAATCAGTATTCCTATGGGTTATCAACTTTGCCCCTTTATTTGCCGACTTATGCTGTTTTTGTTTTATAAGTCAGACTTTATACAGACATTATAGTCCGATTGTGTTCTATTATGTTACAGCCTGATCAACCTTGAAAATAATTTGATTATGCAACGTTGCTGTTGCAGAACAGATCTAAAATATATTAACATGTTCTTTATATAAGTGTGAAAATACCATATGCATATTCAGGACGATAACATGTTCAGGAGATATAAGTATACTCAGAATCAGACAATCACTAAAGCAAGATTTTTAACATCGTACACGGTAAGAATCCGACGGAATGCAACTGAAACGTGCTCATACAAAATACACTGCTGCAACAGGGTTATGTGGATTTAATTGATACAAGTACACAAGTTTTACTCTTATCATGATGGATTGGTTGACCTTTATGACACTTGCTTCCCAATCTTTTGATGTGCTTGAGCTTTCGATAAGGGACTTTCCGTTTTGAATTTTCTTTGAGTTCGATATTTTTTTTAATTTACTTTTTACTTTATCTTTGTCTCTTCTATTAAAAGAACACTTTTCGCGGTTTTATAAATTAACCGGAATTATCTTATTACTATTTAGTGACATATCAACTGAATCCGGATTTGCGTGGAACAGATCAGTAGCACATATAGTAGCAAAACAATCATTGAAAACATTTATAAAAGTCTTGAAGTGGAATTTTGTACCTAACACAGCAGCCATTTACATATTTGTATATTTTGTTATTCAAAATCACTGGAATTGAAATACGAAAAGTAGAAAAATACTTGAGAAAATGACCATTTTGTTTAAATTTAACCTGATATAGCCTTACATTTCAATCTCGTTTCAATGATTATGGAGAATATATTTTATTCTAGTCTAGTACAAATCCGCACTTAATAATGTGGCTTTTCAGTAGTATGTGTTGTTTGATTGCTGCTTTATTGAGATATATTACACACTCTTCTCTGATTAAAATTGATCATGTGAAATTCTAAAGATATACCTGCAGTTCCGCTGTATCCAGTAACATTCAAAGTAAACTTTGTTGTGGCATCCCCTACACTGAACTCGCTATACTCTGCGTACCTCGAATTCCCTTCAAAATCCTCAAGATGGATGTAGATATTGTAAGTTCCAGAAGACGTAAGAATATTTATGAACTTATTTCCTGTACAAAAGAAAAAGAAAACTTTAATCAGCAATCTATCAAACGGCTTATTATTTGTTTTAAATTGCATAATTTTTAACAGCGCTTAAAATGACTCTATGTGTGATTTGGTAAAATTGAAGAAAAAAAGCAAAACAAATTCAGCAAGACAGGACACTATAGAGAAGTAACTGTATTGGTGAAACCTATTTCCATGTATGGAAAAATAAAGAGGGTTTATTTTGTGTTTTGGTTTGTAAATCGTAGAAAACTTTATTTTTGGATGGATGTTGAATTCGTTATTTATATTTAATCTATGACATGTGTAAACAATTGGAAAATATTAAAAAAAAAATTCCGAAATTTTAGGCTTAACAAGTAAATACTAACATTTTCATCAACAGTTTGTTGTCTATGCTGATATTGTTGTCATTCGTATAAAATGAAATCATTGTCAAATCTTTCTCGATAAACCTAGGAAAAATTGTGTACTGGAGTAGCATAAGAAAAATTTGCTGTGCTGAATGGAAAAGGTGTTTTTCAATAAATTTTAAAGAGAAAATTACCCAACCAAAACTCGGATTTCAAATCTCCAAATCCAATCTCATAATCAATCCATCCTTTGTAAAAATCAACAGTTCCATTCATTCTGCTTTGGAAAACCTTTGAAAAATGTATACAACATTTATAATAATGAAATTAAATAAAACACTTTCTCGACTTTTACAGAGAAAAGTCCATTTTCAACTGAAGTAAATGTGTGCGTTGATGTAATTTCGTTATCATGTAATTCTTTTAATGTCATTTTAAGCACACCTGACCCAACGTATCATGTAAATTATTGCCATCACTTGGCGTTTGTCGTTATCGCCATAGCTTTGACAATGACCTCAGGTTAGGCTACATTAACATGTGATTAAGTGTCTTATATCTTGAAAATTATAACAAATAGACAAGATCTGACATAGGTATAAAACCTAGAATTTCTAGATTCTGCCTACTTCCTGTTTTACCGCAATATTATCAAATGACTCATTAATGAGTTATTGTCCTTAAAGGACGATGTGTGGCTAATTTTTGAAGTTTTGCCTATTTATTCAAAAACTTTATTAGATAGAAAGAAACTGATAAGGAATAAAATATATGCAATATAAGATCTACAAAACTGATTATTGATCGAAACCATTTGATGACCGCTTACGAGGTTATAGTCCATTGTATATTTTTTTCACAGATCTTCTTCTCTGCAATTTCTGAACCAATTTCAACCAAAATCGGGATGTTAAATTTGAGAATTTATTGACTTTTGACTAGATTTTGTCTATTATCCTTACAATTGTGTTAAAAAGGTAGAATCTATAGGTTGCACTTTGTAAATACAGCTGTTTCTCAAACCACGCCTCTTTTGGGGAGATATAGAATATTCATAGATAAATAATTTTGTTTACATACTGGTTCCAAAAATATCTCAACAAAACTTACAATAGTGTGTTCTATCTTAAATATGTACTAAATATTCCATATTGCTAGAAACAGTAGAATAATTTAGGAAATTTGAGGCCCCAGGGGCAAAAAAAACCCAGAAAAAATTGCCTACCCCCTTGGTCATAAAACAAATAATTTAACTTGTAAATGCTATGATTTTATGATTTTAAAGGTCTTTACATCGAAAACAATAACTGTGCTTGGACTTTATGCAAAAAATAGATGTTAGCAGTCATTTCTATAAAATTTTAAGTGAATTTATACATCAGACTGGTATCTGCATACATACAACTATTGCAAATATGGCTTTGTTTTAACACTTCTAGCTCATATATTAGCTAAGATATGTCAGATATATGGTTACAGATGATACTGTTGTTACAAGAATTCTAAACTGACCATTTGAGGCAGAAATTGTGAACTTTCATTGACAAATAGGCACACAGTAAAATGTGGACTGGAGACACAGGGAGGATTTGATAATTTATATAATCTTGAATGTTGGAATGATTGACTGCTAAACATAACATTTACAGTATTCTGAAATGCTTTCAATATGTTATCAGAACAGTTTTAAACAGGTTCTAGGCATTTCATGTCAGAAAACATGCAAATAGGGTAAGCTTGCAATAATTAAAGTCTTGTTGTCAAATTCTTTAAAAAATTGAAACAGGGGAGGGGGTATCAAATGAACAGTAAAAGAAAACTTAAGAGTTTATGCAGTGATTTCTTTAAGGCTATAATTCTGATAAATAAGTATTAATGTGAGAAAAGGTGTTTTAGAGAGTTTTCTATTGGAATAAATGTTTGTATAGGTTGCACTTTGTGAATACAGCTGTTTCTCAAACCACGTCTCTTTTGGGGAGATATAGAATATTCATAGATAATTAATTTTGTTTACATACTGGTTCCCAGTTATGATCTCTAGGTTTCATCTCATACAGACATAACTTGGGAATGTTACCAGTAAATATACACATGCATATTGTCTATATAGAAATCTGTGCTAATCCTACAATCAAAGTAGGGATAGTTAAGAAGTTTAGTGTTAGTTTAAACTCTTAGAATTTCGGGGCATATAAACGTTGAAAATATGCCACACAGCCCTATATTTTGACCTTTGAATAAAATTGTAGTGCATATGACTTTTCCATTCTAGGATATGATTTTTTCAAAACTTCATAGTAAGAGTGGTACAGTTTTAGCCGTAAAAGGAGTTCCTATAGGAAATTGCATTGTCAATATTTACAGAAATGCAACCTATAACTGCAAAAATGATCCGCAATAAAAGGCCTTCAAAATTCCTTAGATGTCCAAAAAACTTTGGATGGCAGTTACATTGTATGGCAATTAAATGAAGATTTTAAAATACTTTTCCCGTTTTTGCCTATTCTTCAAAACTATAATATATAGGTATAAACAGTGCAAAGCTATTGTTGCCCAGAAAAGACAATCATTAACTAATTTTCGAATATTCGCCTCTAATGTAGAAAAAAAAAGAATAAATACTTAGAAACTGTTAAGATAAAAAATGATCCAAAATTTTTAGTTTTTGCCTCATATTTCAATTTTTGACTGATAAGAGATTCATACTGCTAGGAACCCCTTGTTTGGTTATATAGCTATTCACGAATAGGTGTCTTTTGCTTTTATATTTTTGAATTCCTGTTGACGGTAAATTTTGATATCGGATGCATCAAAATAATTAAGTTATACCTGCTTTTACTGTTCTTTGAGAGAAAAAGCCTTGCAAATTGTTGAAAGATATATAATTTTTGAAGTGCTAAATGACTGGTATGTTTTGAATAGAATCTTAAATATTTAGATATTTAACGTGTTGTTTTCATTTTTTACAGCACTGGGTCGATACCTCTGCTGGTGGACTATCAATCCTCGAGAGTATCATCAGCTTAGTAGTCAGCACCGAAGAAATGACATGATTAATAACAAACCTTTCTAAAATTGTCCGTTTAAACATTTTGAAATTATAAAGAAACAAAGGTTTCAACTCCCTCAGGCAAATTTGACCTTAGATGGATTTGGCTATTTTGGGGTTAATTTTTGTCATCAAGCTCTGCAACTCTTTCGGTACTTCTTCATCCTCGGCTTTCAAATATTCGGTTTTACGAGTTCCTGATGAAGGTAAATTCAGAAAAGCGCTTCGGACGCATGAAATTGTTTAAAGTTTTGTTTTCATTTTTTACAGCACTGGGTTGATACCTCTGCTGGTGGACTATCAGTCCCCGAGGGTATCATCAGCTTAGTAGTCAGTACTTCGTTACTGACATGATTTATAACAAACCTTACAAAAATTGTCTGTTTATAAATTTTGAAATTATAAAGAAACTTAGGTTTCAACTCCCTCAGGCAAAATTGACCTTAGATGGATTCGGCTAATTTTTATGGATTTTTTGTCATTAAGCTCTGCAACTGTTTCGGTACTTATACAACCTCGGCTTTCAAATAATCGGCGTTGAGCGTTCCTGATGAAGGTAAATCCAGAAAAGCATTTCGGATGCATGAAATTATTTAACGAGTTGTTTCAATTTTCTTAATTGAGTATATGTAGGACAACTGAAATATCGAATTGTGCTGAAAAAGAATAGTTTTTTGTTGTCCTTAAGCATCAAAATAAAGTAAGAGTTCAATACAATATGAATATCTTCATACAGAATGATCGCCAACTATCCAAACATTGTTAATCAAGTTAACCTGATCACGATTAAAAGTGTCTGGCGCATTAAATCGGTATCGTATATGTTCAGTTATGATTACATTTTGTTCATTGGTACTTCTTATAGATAGAAAATCAATGACGTCAAAATTTTAAATATAACAATATATTTTCCGTGCGAAATGTGTTAGAAGTTTATTTTTCTAATTTAGAATTTTCACATTCTAATCTTTTAATCGAATTGTCAGCAAATTAAAAAAAAAAAAAAAAAAAAACAAATATCATAAATATGGCTTCACTTGTCTGTGAACAAATATTGTTTTTAAAGTGTAGACGATGAACATAAATGGAAAAAAAAATGTACTAAAAATTTAGTAGTTTTACACACAGTAAGTTATGAACAGTTCCATAGGTTATCTAAAGACATAACAGATTCCGAGAATAAAGCAGCAATTGCAAAAACTATCAGTACCACATCAAAAACGGCAAATGTTTTGTCCTATTCGTCCTAAAAAAAATTACGCCACCCACCCTTAAAAAAAACAACGAAAAAAACACTAACAAAATCTGAAGAAAACAAAGAGAAACTTAAATTGTTGATTTTCACTTAAAATAAAGATTAGGCTTTTGTTTCGATATATGTGTCGTGAAATACTAATATTCAATTCACTTGTTTTGGGGAAGTGAAGATCAGTTTTTCCAATAAAATAACACTACATATGTCAATCTGTATTATGTATAAAAAATATAGAATTAAATGATACAAATAGTTACATAAAAACTATATCTTCACTATACTTACTGTCCATCCAAATCCTACTGTATCCATGTCACAGTAAACATCAAACTTTTCACTTGATGGATATATTGTATATACCCCGGAACAACTTCCTTGTGGAAGATCACTGCAGTCACGTGGGCGAAGTTCTGAAAATTATTATATATATATGCATATCGTGAACGACAAACAGATGAATAACGACACTTTGTGATGCAAATTCTTTACATGGCTTTATGAACAAGATAAGTTTTAACGTTTCCCATTGTTGTAATGTTTATATGCTAGTCCTTGATGTAAAATATATTTCTTCTTTTATACAGGACCGTATCTGTTCAGTTGTTAGAGTGACGTTACTAATGAAATTTGTTAATTTCGTTCTTTTTAAGTGAAGCACATAATAAATAAATTTTCAGTTTTATGGTTTTTTGTAACAGTGATCTAAATTACTTTCCCAATTATTAAAAAAATCAACGTTTACTTCACTTTTATAATAATAAGCAAAACAAGTTCTGTATACTGTCATTGATTGGTAAAAACCAATTAAAAAGTGGAACACAGTTCAAGAGACATAAACAATTAAGTAGAAGAAAAAATACAAAACCATTGGGAAAAATGAAAACCATTTATAGACAACCTTCAACCCAACAAACATTACACATTAGCTAAGAATAAAACATTTTAATTGTGCACACATGGAGATTATAAGAAGACCTTTCATTTACCTTTCTTTCCTTCTACTAAAACAAATGTTTTACAAGTTTTTTTTCTGCTGAACAATAACATTCTCAAAAACATAATAACTTATACATAAATGAAATAGATTCAAATGTCTATCGATAGGTTTTAGTCAAATGTAAGCATTAGTGTTTGAATTATCATCTGATAATAGCTGTTAAATGATAATGCTTTTTTTTAAAAAGCTCAGTTTATGTAAGCATTGATAAAACGAAATAACTTTAAAATCGTTTTTTTTTAAATTATCGTTATCTGTTATCATATTGCGGTATTTGTAACGCCAGAACTGTACCTTTAAAAGTGGTGTGTAAATGATCACTTTTTCATGATAAATGGTAATAGTTCAGAAAAGAAGATCACTATGTTGTAACAAAAGGCAAATGACCAGACGAAAACGTTATGTTATTGATTGTTTTTTATCTTTCAAAACCAAGCAAATATGTACATTTTATATCATATAATCTTTTATTCAATACTAAGTTACAACATCAGCCATGTTAGATAGTAAGTTTATATTTTTTTCAATTTCAAAATGTGTTTG